GGGGCGCGGGGCCGGGAGCCAGAGTGCCGCCCCCACCCCACCCCAGCCCAGCCCCGCTGCGCGGGCCGGGATCCCGCCTTCTCGCGGCCCCTCCCACTCCGAGGACCCCAACCCGTTAAGTGAGTGCCTGCAGGGGGAGGGGGGCTGGGAGCCGTGCAGACACAAGTTACAGGCGCGCATGCGCCTCTGCTCCCCTCCTGGGAGACGCCCACCCGCTCCTCACTTTGCGGGAGGTGAAACTGAGGCCGCAGGGGAAGGTTTGGCCCAAGGTCACACAGCGAGGTAGACCGAGGACGAGGCTGTGCCCGGATCCCCAGACTCCCAGTCTCTTTCCCAGTATACCCCATGCGCTCCATGTGTAGCTGCCACCCTTTGGGTCTGTCTTGCGTGGGTGAGTGTCGCGCGATCTGCGCCTTCGAAGTGCAGTGCGAGCGCTGGTTCTGTCTCCGCGGGTCCGCGAGTGGCACGCGTGCCTTTGTAGCCGCGCGTGTGCCCGAAAGTGGGTGTGCACGACGTGCGCTCAGGAAGCGGAGGCCTGAGGTGTGCGCGGGACCTGTTGTCAGCAGGCCTGGCAGATGGGAACTTAGCTCCGGAATTAATTGCCTGTTTGTCTCCGGTTGGGAGGTCGCCCCCTGCCCCAGCGACCAGTTGCTCTCGCCTCAATGAGCCTGGCCTCCAGTGTCACCGCCGTCGGAGTTCGCCCGCGGCTTGGGGTCTGGGCTCCGGGTCACCGCGAAACCCTGGCCCAGCGAATCGAGCCAGGAGACCCGACTTCCCGTGACGCAGGCGCCCCCTGCTGGCCGCTGCGCGCACGGCTCCTAGCCCAGAGGACCAGCGGCACGCGTGCAGGGCGAGGAGGCGCGCGCAGAGGTCCCGGAGTGCCGAGCTCAAGCGACCCTGGTGCAGACCCCGGCCCACGGCACCCCGCTCGCGGAAATACCTTCCCACGGACTTGAGCTTCTCAAAGCAACCCTTCCTTCCCGTCTCACCCACCCCCTTAGTAAGACAGCCCTCCGCTCCATGCATCCCCACGAAAGCGGGGTGTATGATCTCCTGGTTCTCTAGGTCGTCTACTACCGGAGCGGTTCGCACCCCCGGCCGGGAATGAGGAATGAGGTGGGCAGCGGCTCCCCACTCACACTGCACCCCCAAAGCCTGCAGCCGCATTCCACTCAGCCGGAAGCTGGGAACTCCTCCCCGAGCTCTTGCACCCTCGCGAAGTAGGGCGTCGGCCCACACTGGGATGCGGCCCCCGCCCTCCTTTGCCCTGGGAACATACCCCGGAGCCAGGAAGCGTGGCTCGCACACCCTCCGTGTCCTGCCTCGCGCGCACCCCTAGCCACACCTCCGGGGCCCCAGTCCTGCGCCCATGCCAGCCACACCCGCAACTTCAGCTCCCCGCACTCCGCGGCGCTTCGTAAAGCACGCGCACCCTCGCTACACCCAGGGTCCGCGTGGAGGCCAAAACACAGCCCCACGGAAGCCAGGGGTGCACGCAGGAGCTGGCGTCTCCTCGGGGACTCGGGATCCCCTGCCTGGCCTACCCCATCGCGCACGCGGTAAGCCGGGTCCCCGCGCCGCCCTCCGCGCCCCGGCAGCCCGCCTCGCCTTGCTCCGGCCAGCGCGCAGCCTTCACGGGAGATGCGGGCACCACCGACCCAGGAAAGTGCGACCGCGAGTCGCTGCCAGAGCCGCGGGACCCGCCGCCTGCTCCCCGCTCGGCAAAGTCGCGGGACAGCGCCGCCGCCGCC